TTTATATTAAAAAATAAAAATAAAAATTAGAGTTCAATTTTTTTTAATAAAAAAAATCAAAGCAACCTTTTAATTTTAATCTTGTTCATTGGCGGTATCAGTGGCATTAGTCTTGGCATTAGTGGTAGCTGCAATCATTCCAGTAGGAACAGGGTTTGATTTCAGAACTTCTGAGAGGCGAGTCCTAGTTGAATCCATTTATGCTAGTGTCGTTTGACCTCTCTTTAATCTAGGGATCACGCCTCGTAGAGTTAGATCACATTCATCTAAAACTCCCAGGGTTCCTTTTCTCCTAGACGTAAAATTCTAAGTGATGCTTTCCATCCGGTAGCTAGAAGTGCTGGATCAATATCACTTCTCTTAATATTGATACTACTTGCATCAGAATTTCCATGTAGCCTTCTGGGAAATGTAAGACTATTTGGACCATGACCGCCAAGAGAATTTAATCTTCCAGTCGTTGGTGAATTTGGTCTCCTTGATATTCGATTATGGTTAGGTATACTTGAAGTGTTTATTCGCATATTCTCTGAAACTGAAGGAAGACGAAGAATTGAGCGTCCATTACTACTAGCTGGGTTATGTGGTAGAGCAAAACTTTGTGGACTAAAAAAAAATTTTTAAGAAAAAAGATAATTAGTTTACGGTGCTTAAAAAAAGTTCAATACTTTCACATTTTAAACATTGAAAAAAACTTGCTAAATCTAAAAAAGCTCACTTGTCTTTGTGATGAGTTAATCGAACCACCATATTTTTTATTTGTGAGGGTCTGACAAAACCCCATGGTTTTGTCTGCAATCAAAATAATATTTGCCAGCAACTGAGCTATCATTTTTACCCGAAGGTTCATCTAGCTACACCGACCCATTTTCCTGTCACAAAAGTAGTAGGTCTAATAAAACGAATGGTTCCCGTTTTTCCCTGTATCTCCCTTGCATCTACTGCTAAGTCTGAGGAGGTTGTTGCCATTTTCACGTTCGATACCTGCTCCAACGAGTATTAAAGTAAATTCAAAAAAAAATTTTAAGGAGCAGAGTTTTACTTATAATATTTAAATTCTTTTTTTAATTAAAAAATTAAAAGGTAATTATTTTTTTTAATTAATTTAACAGATAATCAAAATAACACCCCCTTTTTTATACTTTCTTTCTTATCTATTAACTTTACCTTATTAATTTTTTTTTCTTTTTTTTTTCTTTAATGAAAAAAAATTCCCAAGCAGGCCAATTCGTTACAATATGAATTTAACAATAGTTTCTTTCTCGCATAACGTAAAATTTAACCACAAAAATAAAATAAAAAACTAAGCCCGCTCAGGTCAAGACAAATTACAACGTGATAAGCGAAAGTATGATCGTATAAAAAAAAATTCCAATTTAGTTTGTGTTTTAACTGAACTTCTTAATACTTGCACGAGACTTGTATTACTGTGTACAAAGACCGATTAGGAAAAAAAATAGGTCTGTTCTATCTTACGATAATATTTTGAGTCACGTGATATTTCCAAAAGTTGTCCAATAATAATAAATTTTGGTTTTGGACATTTTTGGACAGGATTTTGGATAGGAGTCCAAAATATCGAATTGTCCAATAATCCAATACTGCTTTTAATATATCAATTTAATAATAATTGAAAAATATAATACTTATATTAACATTAAAACTACAGATAATAAAAAAAATTTTACTATTATTCTTGAATGTATGATTGATAAAACAAAATTATTCTAATTATTATTTTTAAATTAAAAAATATACCTCAAAAAAACTTTTCTAAAGGTATATTTATTTATATAAATGAAAAGTGTTAGATTGATAAAAATGAAATATTATGGTATATTGAAAATATTTGTAACAATCTTCATTAAATGATCTGTGTTCTTTTTTAATTTTTGATTCATATATATACATATAGTTGATTCAGTTAAAAATCAACTTGCTATAAAAAATACAAGTATAGCAGTTATTTCTAGTAGATTAATATCAAAATTACAACCATTAGATGTTACAATTAATAAGAGTTTAAATTTAAGGTATAGATAATTTTTATTTTATATTTTATTTTATTTTATTTTATATAAATAATAATAAAATTAATATAAAAAGGTCTGAGAATTATATAATCAATGGATGGTAGAGAAAATTCATGAAACTACATCCTTAAATTATATTAAAAAACCATCTTATTTAAAACTAACTGAATGGATAAAAATCGTGTGGGAATCACTTGATTCAAATTTAATTAAAATTCATTTAAATGTTGTGAAATATCTGTTGTAAAGCATTTAAATTTAGCATAATTGATTTGGTTTTTGATATACTTAGTATTTTAATTGCAATAAAGATAAAAAGGATCAGCTATACCATATCATTATAATATTCGACGGGGGGTATAAAGAGCGTCTTACGGTATAAATTATATTAGTAAACCTGGCCAAAACTATAAACGCATAATTTAGCATAATTTACTCATGCATAATTTGGTATGGTATTTTGGTATTTTTTATAAGCATAATCCTGGACATTTCTAAACAAGTTTGAGTTTATTAAAAATTTATTAAATTCAAATGCCTTTAATATCAGCTCCTCCATTAGCGCGTTATCAATATTTAATATCTCGGTAATTTATTTATTTATTTATTTATTTTTTCCTAAAAAAAATTTTTTTTTTTTCTAAATTCTAAAATTTTTTTTTTTAAAAAAAAAAAAAAGCCGGGGGGATTTTATCCTCTCAGTATTTGCGGGTTCTTTATCATATTATTTGTACGAAAAAGATAATCCTCGTGAAAACGACAAAACTTTATGGAAATTAATTAAGAGAAAATTTGAAGTTTAAAACATTACTTTTAATGATTATAAATAAATTTATCAATAAATTAAATTAACTTTTTTAATCATATTCTTTATCCATTAATTAAATTTCCATTCTGGACTTTTTATCAAATCTTTAATAATTTGTATACCACGATGTCCTTTAATTGGATGTTCAACAAAAGATTTTTTTTCTGCTAGCTCTATTGCTACTTCTTGTGGAGTTCTTTTTGTTGCCTTGGCTTTTTCGAGAATTAATTTTGTACAATTGTAAATCGAATTCTAAAAAAGAACCCAATTTTAAATTATTGATTGTCTAGTTAAATAATAAAAAACAAATTGATATTTACGAACCTCCCATGAATCACCTAAATGTTGTTCGATAAATGGATCGTCTTCAACATAACCGTATTGCTCGTCAGCGCAATTCACAATTCCTTTTTTTTTTTTTTTTTAAAAAAAAAAAAAAAAGAACTTATCATTAATAAAAGATAATTCAGATGTTTAAAAATAAAGTTAAAATTGACTGTATTTACCCATTCGATTAGCCAAAAAATCTATTATTTATAAAGTTGATTTGAGATGATAATACAACAACTAAATTAAACAATAATAAAGATTCATCTACCTGGTATATATGTGATCCCTTGCCTGGCAAGAAGTTTATCATCTTTAGCAGGATCTAATTTGAAAAAAATATATATATTGAATGGAATAACATAAATAAATAAAATAAAACTTGAATTTACCTCCCAACTGATTGTTGGCTGCGCCACAAACGATCTTCGATTTAATATTTGGGATTGTTTGTGAAGTAAGTATATTGCCAACTCCACATGGTGAAACAGCATCAACGTCTAATACAATACATGTAATATTAATTGAAAAACTTGTTTAAAGAAGATCTCCAAAGTTTTGTATGTATTTACCTTCAAATAAAATTGAATTATCATTTCGCTTAGTTAATCGGAATTCAATTTTGCCACTTTGAAATCCTTTGCCAAATTCTTTTTCTAAATCTTGAATCTTTTGCGGATCTATGTCACAAGCAATGATGTGCTCGACGCGTTTTTCGCGTAAAAATTGTATCAGGTTGTAGCCGACATTTCCAACACCCTTAAATAAATAATAAAAAAATAATAAAAATGATTAATGAGCTTACGTGACGCGTAACTAAGCTACTATTAAATCAACGTTACCTGAACAGCGATTGTGGCACCTTCTAACGATTCTCTACCTAAATGTGAAAAGGCGGCTTCAAGTGCACGAACAACTCCTCTTGCCTTAAGTAAAAGTAGCAATTGTTAATAAATACGATGATTATGAAATATATTTACAATGTTAACATAATACCGTTGGTAAACTTGGGTTACCGCTACCACCATACTATGGTAAAAAAAAATAAGAAATTGGTAAGATAATGGTAGTCAAGATTGATGCAACCTTGATGAAATTTTCTTATAACATACTTGCGGCGAAATACAAGTTGTAAAACGCGTTTTTGAAAAAATTGCTTCCATATCTTCATCTTTCATTCCTACATCTTTAGCCGTTACATAACAACCTTTCAATGAACTTTTTAAAAATGATAAATCCCTAAATGTTCCAACAAGACCATTAAGTTTAGAACAATGTTACGATTTCATACCTAATAAAAGAACCATATTCTTCAAAGACTAAACGACGTTGTAAGGATGAAGCCTCTTCCTCACTTTATGATTAATAATATTACATTAAAATGATGCACGCATGTGAAATTTAAATTTTAACATAAAACTTACAATGCAACTCCAGAGTTTCTAGCAATTATTCCTTTTCCGCCTCCCCACCTAACATATATTTTAACATACGAATTTATTATTTTTACACCTATTTTTATTTTTTTTTTTCAATCAAGATATCACAGACCATAATTCAGCGAGAGCATTTTTATGTGTCATTGCTCTGGACAACCGAATTCCATCACGGAACCAATCTTCTATGCTATCATAACTCCAATTTCGCGTACCACCTGCCGCAGCACCTCGACAAGTTCTATGAACAAATGCTCCCTAAAAGACATCCTAATTAATCACAATCAGTCACGTGAGAAATCCAATATCCTAGTTTATGAAATGTACCTGCAGTACTCCAGATTTATACCCGATCTTTTTGAATTTGGAAAGTTTTTTTTTTTAAAAAAAAAAATAAATAAATAAAGAATAACCAAACCGTTAGAATGAAAAATTTTCCTTATTTCGCAGAGAAATTTCAAGAAAGAATATAACACACCTGTCCGAAAATTCCTTCATGTTTATCGAAATCAATTCCTTCTTGAGTAAAATAGCTAGAATTCAAAAAGTAAAATGTAAATAAATAAAAATAAGAAAATAAACAGAAATAAATTTTTTTGAACTCATTATTTACTCTCCAATAGGTTGTATAATGGGATGAGATGCTTCTGTTTTTCCGGTATTTCGATTAAAATATGCATGAAATTTAGTAATTCCGTGAGATCTAAGAACAGAAATAAAACTATCGAGCAAAAATTAAATTAGGCAAATTAATATGGTTCAACGAGGAATTATGTAAGCAGACGGATAACAAAACGAGAGGTCATATACCTTTTTGGAGAAAGTGAAAGAATTGAAGGTTTTACTAAACTTGACATTATAAATATTAAAAATACTAGCCAAAAATTTTTTAGATTCCTTTTATATTTGATATAATTTAGCTGCGGCAAAAATTATAAAGCTGGTGACAGCCTAAATTAGAATTTTTTTTACATAAGAAACATCATAATTTATTTAGGGTCTTTATTATTATTATTTTAAAAAATAAGTTTAATTTAATTTAATTTATTTAACGGGTACTTTTGGCTTCTTAGTCCCATACTTTGAGCGAGAAGAGGCTCTATTTGGTACACCAGTGAAATCATAAGCTCCCCTAATAAGATGATATCGAACACCAGGTAAATCTTTAACACGCCCGCCTCGAACAAGAACAACACTATGTTCACTCTATACAATAACATGAATTTTATAGAAATCAATTAATAAAATTCAGTTAATATCAAATCTTAATAAAATGTGAATTACCAAGTTATGACCTTCTCCTGGTATATAAGCCGTTACGAATTTTCCCGTGGAAAGCTTAACACGAGCCACTTTACGTACGGCAGAATTGGGTTTCTTTGGTTTTGTTGTGTAAACTTTGTTACAAATTCCCTTCTTTTGAAAACTTCCTTCCAGAGCGGGTGATTTTGACAATTTGACTTTAGACTTTCGTATACCACGCATTACTTGATTAAGCGTGGCATATGCGGCTGAAAGAGGTTGTTGATATAGGTGGATAGAAGAAGGAAATGACGCGTATCGAAATAATGCCGTGCGTAAAGAGTTCATTTGTTACGTTTCTAAATTTATTTATTCGAAAGACTAAAAAGGTAGTGTATTTGTATTGTAAAAATAATTGTAATCTCTCTTGGGACTTACAATCAATGAATCGTTGATTTAGAAAACCATAAAAAAAAATTCTGTTGAATCTAAATGATCATCATGATATAATGTTACACAAAATTTGATTAATTACAAGTTTGATATAAAAATTTTTTTCATTTTAAAATTTTTGTTCCCTCTCTTTTACATTCCTTGTATAGTCGGTAAGTTACTTTTTACGTTAAAATATCAATTCGGAATTTAACGGATGATAATTGAAAGAAAGAGATTATTCTCAATTCGAATGATTTAAAAAATCTTTCTAAATTATTATTATTATTATTTGAAAAATTTTTAACTGACAATATAAAATTAATCCATAGAGAAAATGAAGCACAATAACCGACTTCCAAACGTCCATTTTCACAAGGATTGGCAGATACGTGTTAAGACTTGGTTCGATCAGCCTGGGCGCAAGAAGAGAAGAAGACTCAATCGCATCGATAAGGCTGCTCGAATTGCTCCACGTCCTATTGAACTTTTAAGGCCGGCAGTAAGATGTCCTACGCGTAGATATAATACCAAATTAAGAGCTGGTCGTGGATTCACGCTCGATGAACTCAAGGTTGGATCAATTAATTATATAAATATTTATGCTTATTAAAAATATTCTTTCAGCCGAGAAAATTTTAATTGGGAAAAGAGCATTACTTTTAATACATAAGACCAAAAAAAAAAAAAAAAAAAGAAATATTCATAATGTAAATTTACTTTTAAATTATTGATAGGAAGCTGGAATTCGTCGTAAGGAGGCACTCACCATTGGTATTCCTGTTGATCATCGACGTAAAAATCGATCGGTTGAATCTCTTCAACTTAATGTTCAACGTTTGAAGACATATAAGAGCAAACTCATTATTTTCCCAAGAAATGCCAAAAAACCAAAGAAAGCCGATTCCGCTGTATGCCGCTTTCTTTCTTTCTTTTTTTTTTTTTTTTAAAAAAAAAAATTGTTTATTAAATTATGAAATTTTATTTACTTCCATTAATGAAGCCGGATCAAATTGCCACTGCGACCCAACTGAAAGGGACTGTCATGCCAGTCCAACAATTGTGGAAGAGAGAAAAGGCTCGTGCCATTACTGATGAAGAAAAGAAAGGTAGCGCATATGCTACCTTGCGTAAAGCTCGCTCTGATGCTCGCCTTGTTGGAGTACGTGAAGCGCGTCGTAAGGCAAAGGAAGAGGAAGAAGCTACCAAGAAGAAATAAATAAATAAAAGTTTCCAATATTTATTTTTATTTGTGATCAAATAAGATAAAAATCATCATATCACCATTTAATCAACGATATGTTTAGAACCTTTACGAAGTAGGACTTTTATATGATAAAAACAAAAAATATGTAGTAGGGATTTTTTTTTTTTAAAGTGAAAAATACTTTTATCGAGAATTTAATTAAATCATTTTAAACTTAAAAGATATATATATATATATAAATTTAATTTAAAAAAGAAGCATTATTGTCAAATATAGCTTTTTTTTTTTTTTTTAAAAAAAAAAGGGAAAAAAGATTTGCAACTAACGTGTAAGTTACGACTAACATAATAATAATACATGAAATAGGACAAATCAATTAGAATTCATTTGGAAACAAAAATTTATAAATTCTTTTATTATGAATAGATGGAGAATTATAATCCATTATTTGAACTCTGTCCGTTTGACATATCTTCTTCCTCGACTTCCCAAATCTTTCTGATCTTGCCTAAATCAAAACATTTCTCATACACATGATTTTGAACAAATTCGGTTAGTATCCAAACATTTGCCATAAAGAAAACTATACTTGCCAACCATATATTGAAGAATGTGTTTTCTCCAAGAAATTCAAGATTATAAGCTTGATAAAGCCAAAGGGCCTGTTATAAAAAAATCAAAAAAAAAATAAAGATTTTTTTCTTCAGTTGGAAACTAGCCAGATAATAAACTTCATTACCTGACCGCCTATCCATGCAAACAACATAAATAGTCCTTTGTAAAAGAATTTGATGGTGGTGGATTGAATTATAAGTGGAAATAAACATATATACCACATAAAGTACTATAAAAATAAAAATAAGTTAATTTTTTTACAGTTTGAAAATGTAAGAAAAAAAAAAATATTTCATTTATTTCGAGAATTTACCTGGGAAGTACAAACTTTGTTATAAATCACAAACGCAAAGGTTTGAACGAAACATGCAAAAAAGATATCATTGCCAAACACAATTCCCAACAGTGTTACAATACTTATCTGAGGCAAGAATGCCAATAAAGCCATTATAGAACTTTTAGAAATGTCAAAAGTGAGATAAATGTAATAAAACCAAAGGGAAAAGTTATGGCGATGATCTTTGCGTGTAACATGGTAAAGGTAAGTTTCGTTGAGAAATTCTTGTGAATACCTAAATATTTAAAGACGATAACTGACTTATTCAATGATTAGTTTCAATTCAATTATAAATTTATACGAATAAGATTATATCAATAAGAAAAGACTTACAGATAATACATTATTCCATTTAAAAGAAAAAACACTCCTCCACTTATTAAGCCAAACTTAATTCGCGTTGGATTTACAAATCTAACAACTTTTCCTGTCCAATATTTCAGAGAATCTCTATCAAGCTCTTTCTCCTTACCCTTCCTTCTTAAACCCCGATAATCTTCATCATCTAGCAAAACCAATAATGATATGGCATAAATAATGGGATAAACCTTAAGGTGAACAGATATTCCGTATAGAATGCTTGCGGCGATAATCTTTTTCACGAGCACCAAATACAAGGTCAATAGCACCGCGGCTCCGAGTAATGATTCCGCGTTCCCACGCGTCGAAATGTTTGAAACTACTGGATTCAAAAGCCATATCGCGGAATAATTAACAGCTTTTTGATCCCGTAATCCTCGCAAACGTAAAATTCTATATATTAAAACTCCAACTACAATATCTGCAAAAACAAACAAAAATTTGCCAAACGATTTGTGAATATAAATGTTTGGTGTTAACAAAAATGCAAGAAGGGGTGTATATCGATACGTTGCACGTTTATAAGGACTTTCTCCTTGAATTACAAAACGCGCTGCATCTGAGAAAACTTTGTAATCTATATCAGTGTATTTCACTTGCATGTGCGCGTCTTGCCATTCACCATAAATCAACATTCCCAAACGAAGAAGCAAGGCCATTAAACATAAAATAGTAAAATTGAGCCTTGGTAAGTGCATTTTGAAACGACGTTGGTGATCGGTCTAATTAAAAAAAATTACGTAGAATTTATCGAGTGTTTCTTGGGATTACTAATTTAGGTAATTTACCCCCACGCTACACGATTGGCTGGTATAATTGAGATTAATTAACATGGATCACCCTTTCGTCAATGGAAAAAGACTCTCAAATCGAAACGTGTTTTAAAGGGATGAACTTGTGTATTACCGCACTAGGTGAGATATGTTTAATAAATTGTTGGCCATATACACCTGAAGTTACGCTGCACTAGGTAATTAGGCGGTAGAGAACCGGAAGCGCAACGCGACCACTTAGATTATGAATCGGGTAATATTTTGTTCTCGGCTTAGCCTTGTTATTCGAAAGTCTCTTATGGTTTGATGAATAGGGTGTATGGGTTGAGTAAACTAAGTCAGACTCCATCCTCGTGATAGCAAAATTTACTTGTTTTTGTTTTTTTTTTCTACACTCAACAGTATGATGGTTTAGATTATAATCATTATCATGAAGGACAGTACGCTAACGGCACTACGGAAAGTGTAACTTTTTCTCAAGTAAATACCCAACATGACTATATAGGTTATGGTTATGATGCCTTGGTCAAGATCTAGTTAACAATAGTAAGATCCTTATTATTATCAAAATTACAATCCAAACTGAACATATGATCCGAATCAAGAGTATAATCTTAATCAATCAAACGATCCTTGTCAAACATATTACATACGATCAAAGTCGTTATGATCCTTCTTTATATAGTCAAGTTATTATCAATTTCAAATTCCAAAAGATCTTTGATTCAAATTCGATATAACGAATACGAATAGTATGGGTGAAGTAAACAGAACGTTGGTGACGCGTTAAAATCTGATGCAGTACCATTAACTCCTTTTTTGGTACTTTAACATGATAATGAAAGACGCATCAGAATAACAAAGACAATGAAGAAAGTAAGGAAACGGTCGAGCATTTTCCAACTATAAATCAAGACATTGATCATAATTTCAAATTTCTAACTATATCGATCGACGTCAATCAATGATAATGTTGCCGCATTTATTTTGGTCGAAACAAACTTCTTCAGAAAAAGAAAATAATTCGCGTATTAATTCGCCAGCTGAAAAAGATAATGAATTGAATGGGTTGGAAAATGAGGACCAAGAAGTAAATATTACTTACGGAGATGATATTGATATTTGAATATCAGCCTCGAGAGTTGGAGAGTCATCTGAAATCAGAACCTTCATAGGATGGACCATATGTTTATGATTCAAAAATTATATCTGAAGTTTCTGCTGCCGGTGAGAAAGAAGAAATTAATGATAAACAGAAAGATTAAACTAAATTGGATGACTAGTTCTAGGATCAGCTAGTAAACCTGGTAGAAAAAAAAGTATGTATTCTCCTTGCCATTATCGGCTTGCCCCGGGTGAAAGAGGTTTTTCCTGGTCGTGTCTTGGATTCCTGGTATTAATTCATGTATATTCTCAATTTTTTTTTAGGAAGATTTAAGAACGAAATTTGGCATTGGAAGAAAGAAGGCTAGCGATAAGGGAGCGTGTTTGTTTATTTGATCGTTACAAGTTGCCATAAAACTCCCTCACAAGTAGAAAACTACATTCTTTATTAATATAAGTATTTGATACTTTGAACTTTTTCCACGCGCTTTTTTTTTATTTTAATTTTTTACATCTTTTAATGTTATTATATGGGAGAGTTGCCAGTAAACACAACGTTCCCATATTTAATAATTGTCGAGGTTATGTTCGCTTTTGCAAAAGTTGAGGCGCTGAATATCAAATTATGGAAGAGATAACAAATTGCAGGACTAAGGACATCAACCATATTTTGGTTATGTTTGCGTATTAAATACATGTAATGATTTTAACTGTTTCATAGTAATATATTAATAAAATTCGTCCACGCCGCCTCTTACCATAAATTCGATTGATGAATCAAATGCGAAACACTAATGTAAACATTGTAATAAACATTTTTTCATTCATACGTCCTCGGTACATACTCGGTACATTCTCGTTACGTGCGTGAATTTTGGTCACGTGATTACAACGTTCGCCTAGTCTTAGTCATGGATTAAATAGCCCTTCGAATCTTTGATTTTCAAATATAATAAGAGCGATTTTTATCGAAAGATCGTGGATGTTTAAATATGAATCTACTTGTTTACTGGCTTCGAATTTTTGAGAAGGTGGGCTGAAATGTTACCTGAAAAAATGCGCAATAAAAAATTATACCGGAAAATCCTCTCCTGGCTTGTGCAAAATTTGTACAATTTTTATTAATATTTGATTGGCGTGGGATGTTTCAATTAATTTCTACATCCGTGTAACACTACTCGTAATATTTTTGACATTTAACTTGTGTACTTGTGTAATATTTTTTTATTTGTTTCATTCATTACATGATATACAATAATACTAAATATAATATAATACATTTGATTTAATAACAATTTTTATTTCCCTGACTGATTCAGGCTAAAACAGGTTTTTTTAATATAATTCCTGGTGAGGATTAACAAACGTCAAATGACATCAAATTTTTTCATTGGATGAAATACTTGGAAGCAATCTTTAACTACTTCGCTTATTGACATTCTGAATGTTTTATTAACATGAGATAGTTCTGCAAATAACTTATCTAAAAAATTTCTTGTTAAACATTTTACAAAATATGGAACTGATTTTTTAAAAGTATAATAAGCAAATCGAGTTAACCCCACTCAAGTTCAAATAACTTTTGCTGAAATCTTGAAACGTGCTCTTCTCACTTTTACAAGGTATTGTTGTTCCAGTAATGATCTTCCATTCTTGTTACAAGCTCAACAATATTCACGAAATATTGCTAAGATATTAGCGTATTGATAAAAAAATTATCTTTATGAGGCTGTACCTTTAATATACTTACTCTTAAGATCTGACTCTTTACCTCCCTAAGCACGAATTCCTTATTCAGTTACAATTTTAAAATTATTACTTTTAATATTTATAAAATATAATTTAAGATAAAAAGCTTTTTACAAAATAAATTATAAAAAAAAATTTAAAAGAATTTAAGATATTTATACTAAATCTAAAAATAAATCATATAATATTTAAACAGTTATTATTTTATATATTAACAATTAACATATATTATTAAACTATATCCTCTTTAAATTAATCATTATTTTCAATAAAGTATATTTTTAAGACTTTAATCATATTATATTAGTAATTAAAATATGGATGTATAAAAACATTACTAAAAAAAATATATATATATATAATTATCAACTGGAAATATGAATTAGGTTTTAATTGATTTAGAATATATTAATAAAAAAAAATATTATATTACTAAATATCTGTCAAAAAGTGTTTAACTATTATTTAGTAACTATTATTATATTTGTGAAATTGTTATATTACTTTAACTTTCAAGTTTGATGGATTTTAAAAATAGTTTATAGGTTTGAAATGGTATTTACTACTATTTTTTTTTTGAATTATAGTTGAAAATTTTTTTTTGATCTTCTGATTTGATTTAAACTGTAAAACTTAATTATTGTTTAAAAGAACAAATTTTATAGTGATCATGTGATTCCAAAATTGCATTTCGAAAAATGTTACGTGTTATATTTTATCAATATTATCGCAGTTCATTTTTACTAAATTTTATGGATATAACGTGTGTTATTTCCTTTATAAGATTTTAAAATATATTCTCAATCGATTATATATTTAACAGAGGAAATATTTGTCTAACTTCAAAACTAAGTGAAAAAAATACTTAAGTAAAATTATCATGAACTCACTTACTAGTAGAAATAAATTTGAAATTAAAACTTTAAGAATTTTATGAATTATAACGTAGAGATTTATAAAATAAGGTGATTATATCACTGAGTATTTGTTGAGTTGTTATGTATCTGAAGTTACGCTGCCACTAAGTATAAATTAGAGGATTTAAAAGCTCTTTATAGCCACAGCTTACGAAAGTTACCAGTCAGGTATTTGCTGTGAACGTTTGAACTTCGTTACTGAAAAAACTGCACTAACTTGAGTCCTGGATTTATGATAAATAGGATATATAAAATATTGAATTGAAAGTATGTTCTTTGGTTCTTGATAATAATAATACACACTCACTTTTTTATTTTGATATTTTAGACTAAAACCAGGTGAAAGTAATATGAAACTGTTTAGAAATTATGAAGAATTCTTAATATTAGTCTAATGTAAAAATTGAGACAAAATATAGGTAATATATCAGTTGTAGATTAAATATAAATCTTTAATTAACATTAATTTATTATTTATTGTAGGTTCTGGGATCTTATGTGACCTAGAGATTCTATCTAGATATCATAAAGGCACTACAATTGGAATTCTTATAATCCCTTTCAATAACAAAATTTACCTTTGAGACAGTAAGAAAATCTAGAACATCAAGGTAAAATATTATATTAACAGATGTTAGAGATCTATACTTACCCTTATTTAGTTTATTAAGAAATGACAAATTGATGTTCTTATTCAGTTTATTGAGAAACGACAAATCAAAATATTTTATAACTTTGTTCAACTTATTGAAAAATGGTCAGTCATTGTTATCTATCAGAATATTATTGATATAAATTTACATTTTATGAATCAATAAGTTCATAATTACGTAAACTTTTATTATATTTTTTTTTGTATTATTATAATTTTATTGTTATTATACATAATTTTTTTTAAATAGTTTTATTCTCATATTTTTATTTGTTTTAATCAATAAACTGGGTTATTGCAAATCATCACAAAGAAGTCTAATTAAAGATGAATATAAAGTTTGATCTTGATTAATAATTTTCGCAATTCATAATTAAATTAATCAGAATTTTCATGATGTGATCACACATAATTTCCATTAATAAAGAATTTGATTCTTGGACTACTACAGATTGTATAAAAAGAAGATAGGCTATCTTTTATCTGCTTTGCTTAAAATGAAATCAAATACTAATCAACAAACTTTATATATCTTTAATAATTAATTTTAAAACTGCAAAACGAGGAATATCCATAGATAAAAAATAAGGTATAATGAAAATGCTTGATTACACTTACCAATCACTTTGATTTTATTATATATGCAAATTGAATTTCCATTTTATAGATATTGTAATTCTATATATCACTTAATATTAAGAAAAAAATAAAGATAATAGTAGGATATTTTAATAATCACATTACTAAATTTTGATCCTTGAAATTCTTATAAGTGGTAATGTTTACTTTGTCTAGTTTTGCTACAGCATACTTCATATATAATTTTACTTATTAGATAATAATAATAATAATTTACATTTACTTAACAAAATATTTATTAAATTAAATTTCACAAAATAATTAGTGTAGTTGCTACATATAAAATATTTTATTTTATTTATAAACTATAAACTTAAATCTGAAAATTAAAATAAACTGCACTTATTATATAAATTTTAAAGCTTTTTAACTATATATAATGTTAGTGTAATAAAATCAATTAAAATGATATATTAAAAATCTGTGTCAAATTTATCATGCATTATATCTAACTGTTACATAACTATAATATTTATTTATATTATCTTATGAATTTATAAAAAGTTATTCTATTAACATCTGATATATAAAAAAAATATACTATATATTTTTAAAACATACTACTAGTTAAAATTATAGTATTTGATTGTATTGTAATAAATAGTAAATAAAATTATATTATCTTAATATAATTGTTAATCAAAATATCATGAGTTTTTATCTGATCTTTTTTTTCTTATATACTTTTTCAAATATTTTAAATATTTTAAATACAACAATAAAATATTTAAAAAATATATTCTTTTATATTACTTATAAAATATAATTAATTATACAAAGAAATTAAAATTATACAAATTTAATAAAATAGTATTGAAATTAATAATATTATTATATAAATTAGCTAATATGTATTTTTTATATATATTTATAAAAATTTATTGAATATATTTTAAAAACAAAGTTTTAGTAAAAATAATAATATATTATTTATATTTTATATATTAATTTATTTTATATATTTTCAATATTTTTAAAATATTTTTTAAATAATAAAAAATTAAGATTTTGATAAAATAGCAAAAAATTTTATTTTTATTTTTTTAATATTTTGTTAAAAATTTTACAATTATAATTTAGAATAAAAAAAATAATAAAGGTTTAAATAAATAGCATAATATTATTATAGCAAATTTTTTTTTATTTTTTAATAAAAACTTATAAATTTATTAGTGATTATATGTTATTTAGTCTAAATATAAATTTAGATAATCTTTATTTTATAGATAAACTTATTAAAATTAATAAAATATATTTAAATAAAAGTACTTAAAGTTAACTTTTAAATTCTAATATTATAATTCTTTAAATTTAAAGTTATTAATTATTACCTTACTTTTAATTATAATAATAATAATTAAAAATAATAATTTATTTTATATATCTAAAAAAATTGTTTAATTATTAAATAATATTATTAGTAAATTTATAGGTGAATTATAGATGAGAGACGAAACCCCTTAATAACAGTCAAAACTTAGACGAAACTATATTTAAATCATAATAAGGGATACGACGAAACCCATTTGATATGACGAAAGCCGAAACTGTCGAAACTATATTAAAAACATAGAAAAGGGTATGACGAAATTATTTTGAGGAGGTTTCGGCAGGCATCTATAAGGTGAATCTATTAAAAAAATAATATAAAATATACTATAAAAATAATTTAAAAAGTTTAATTTTTTATAAAAATAAATTAAAAAAAAATTTATAGTAAATAAGTAGACAAATTTGTATATAAATTTTTATAATCTAAAGGATAAGATAAGGATATAGTAATCAATTAAGTTATAATATATTATATTAGAATTATTTATATAAAAATAATAATAAAAAATTATTTAGTAGTAATATTCTTTAAAAAAGTTTTTTACAGATTAGTATGATAACTAAAAAATAAATTAAGTATATATATATATTAAAGATAGTACTACAACTGATTATAACTGGTAACAAATAAGCATCATAGGGTTGCAATTAGTTGCAACATTAATAAAAATTGAGTTGCAACTAGTTGCAATTGGTAACAAATAAGCATCACATAGTTATAACTAGTTGCAGCATTATCTTTAATATATATTCTTGAATATTCTAAAATTTTAAAAATAAATAAAGTAGTGATAAGTAGTAAACACTCTTATAAGAGTGTTTACTACTTATCGCTACTTATTTTATAATGTCACTTACTTATCAGTATAATATTACATATTTGTTTTTCGTTAATTTATAGGCTTTTAATAATTTATTTTGTGATTATTCTTTTTAGTTATGTATTTTTGTATTGTTATAATACTCTTTTTTTTTCTTTTTCTTTTTCTCTTTTTATTTGATTATCAGCTTACTTGCTCTTCTTTTCTATTTCTTTTACTTTATTGCTATATGAAATTTTTTGATATACTAATTAGCTTTCGTTTTTTTTATGGATATTTGTTAGATATTTATTGATTGAGAGTTTAGTTTAGCTTTAGAGGTTATTTGTAATATGCGTTTTTTTAATATGCTATTTAGTTTTTATTTCTTGTTATAAGTGTTTATTAAATATATATTTTTGGAGTATATTTTAGGTTTAGTTTAGCTCTGAAGTTTGTTTGTGTTATGTAATTTTTTGCATTATGCGTCTTTTTTTCATTGAAAGTTTTTAATGCAAGGTAATTAATTATTGATCTTGAATTTGATTACACCATAGTTTTATTTTGAGGGATATGATCAGGGTGAGTAGAGTTCTGGATGAGTTGAGTTAACTTACGAGTCAGATAAGCCAAGTCGAGTTTAAATTGAGTTAAGTTTATGTTTTTTTGACTCAATGATTTGTGAGTCAAGTCAAATTCAAGTCAAGTTAAATATTTAACTCAACTTGATTTAAACTCAACTTGATTCGAGTTGACTTGAGTTGACTTGAGTTGACTTAAACGATATTTTTTTTATTGTTCAAGAAGAATGATGATGAATCATTTGACTTGAACAATATTTTTTTATCATTCAACTTAAATGATTTTTTTTATCGTTCAAGAAGAACAATAACAAATTGTTCAATTTGAACGATGACCCAAATCGTTCGACTTGAATGATAACGAATCGTTCGCTCTTTTTCCCTCCCCTCCTCCTGATCTTTTCATTTTTTTTTATTATTTTTTTTTCAAAGTCGAATTGAGTTAAAATCGAATCGAGTCAAATTGAGTTGAGTTTAAAATTTATATAACTCGAATCAAATCAAATTAAAAGATTTTATAAATAAATTTGACTCAACTCAACTCAAAAAAAAAGAGTTAAGTCGAGTTGATCTTTAAACTCAACTTGACTCGACTCATTCAGAACTCTAAGGATGGGTATGAAAAAATATTATATATGATGAGAGAACTCGTTAACATTGTTAATAATCAAAGTCACGTATCTGTTCTAATTTGACTAACTCATTTGTTATTAGTATATTGGTAGATACATTTGCTTAAAGTCATATATCCTAGAATATGAAATATTAACTGGTTACTATTTTATTTTTTTGAATGTTATAAGAAAAATGTCTAAGCTGAAGCAGTATATATACTAATTTTTTTAAGCGTCCTTATGAAAATTTTCTGTTTCTATAAGAAAAATTTATAGGAATACTCATAAGAACAATCTCAATATCATTTTTATACTACTTAACCTGATTTATTGAGTTCTTTACTAATTGTTTCTATATCTCTATAAGTCCCTATGAAATATAAAAATTCTAGAAAAAAAATTCAATTTTTCTATGATATTCTTATAGATAAATATAGTCATATATATAATTAATATAGTTGGTATATGATCAATGTATAATATATATATATATATATAAAATAAAAAGGTAAAGAGTTCAGAAATTTATAAGAACTTATAGGGATATAGGAATAAGTAGTAAAAATACCTTTTGAAAGTTCTAAAATTACTAGTTTGCTATATTTCTAGCATTTTTGTTAAGTTTTTTTACCATCCCTATAAATTTTTCATGATCAAATTTTTGATAAGTCATTGGGGCCAATTTATAGCATTAGGCTTTTTCATTCTATCAAGAACCTCTTCTAACACCTCTAAAGTTTGCCAATCTAAAATATTTTATCTATTGTAGAGATTATATGCTTCAATATGGTGATTCAGGAGTAATTCCAAAAAATGACATTATAACTTTGCAAATTTTAGATAATACTACAACATATCGAATTTATTTTCATATTCAACAAGATATTCCTTATTTTTTTTATCTTGAAAATTATTATATAAGTGATGCATATTTGATATTTTTGGGTTATGATTACAATTATTAGAAGTTAAAGAATTAGGTTATGGAGAATGTAAATTCTTAAAAGATGGAAGACCTAATCAAAGTGCTGATAAAAGTGTTTTAAAAAGTGCTGTAAATACTATTGCTATAAAAAGTGTTGGAAAAAATGATTAGTTTTTACTTTAATAACAATTATAGCTGAGAAAATATACATTATTATACCATTTACCAGATAGTATACCTTCATATACTTATTATGATTTATTAAAGATTATTTATTATTATTACAAAATACTAAAAAAAATCAATCTTTTGTAATGCTATAATTTTTTCTTTGCATAATTAAATCATTTCCAAATAAAGCGTGTAGATTTATTTTTAAAATAAAATCATTTCTTTAGAACACCTTCATAAAAAATAATATATCAATTTATTAAAATCTAAAAAAAGAACTTATTATCATTCTTAAAAATAAGTCACGTAATTTATTAAAAAAAATCAATCCTTTTGATTTCTGAATTATTTTCTTAATTTTTGCAACAATTAACAATTATGAAAAAGGTTATATGTGGCTGTGACAAAAATACTGATTTGAGTATTCGAATTATTATACATTCATATTCTAAATTCAAATATTTAGACTTCAGTAATAGCATGATTGATAATTCAGCAATCAGAAAAATTGCTCGTTCATGTTATACTTTGGCTTAGAATGTTGTAGAAGTATTAACAGAAAAGTAATAAAAAAGCTTAATTGGAATATCAAGATAAAATAGCCTATAGTAATATGAGTCAATGCAAAATCTATCTAGTTCAGAGCAGTGATCATCAGCTCAGAATTTTTTTGCTGAGTCACCATATATGATAATTTTTATTAAAGATATAATGCATTATATAGATAATAATGAAAGAAATAACTAATTGTGTAGATTGAACAGATGATAGAGATTTTGCATCTCAACTAAGCTCTCTAGTCTTAAAATCTGAAAAGGATAAAAAAAATACCAGCTTCCATACAAGGTAATAGCTCCATTAGTAAATATTCAAGTCAATAAAATTTTATGCTATGCTCATTAGTAAGAATAAGATCCCAGAAACTTATATTTGATATTACCAGCGCATAGGCTAGGTAAAGTTTATTTGAAATTTTTTCTAAAATTACTGGTTAAACTATAGATAAACTTTATAGTATCTTAAAAATTATCTAAGTTTTTATAGGGTAAAGTTTTTTTTTCTTTTCGACTAATAAAAGGGTAAAATTATTAATAGTTTGTAAAAGGTCTCTTTTAATAATATGAGTAAAAAAACAGATACTGTATATGTATGATATTGATAGTTAACTCTAAATATAATGAATCTGCTTATACTGAAATCTTATTATACTAAATTATGTGTTACAGAACTGATATATTAAATTATATATTTGATATAACAAACTATCACGTGATATATTTAAATTTATCAAAATATTATACTAACTAGCATAGTTAAAAATCCAATAAAATTCAATAAATATTATGTAACATAAAATTAAAAATTTATTGTTATTGAAATAAAAAAATTAAAATTTTTTATTTCAATATAATTATTAATTATAAACTAAAAATTTACATATCAAAATCAACTGGTACATAATTTTCAACAAATTCTGTTGAAATTTATAATAATTATATAAGATTAAATTAAAATTAAAAAAGAATAAATCAACTTACCTAATATCCTTTTCTTTAATTCTATATCAATTTCAACTTCTCTTGATATAACTTTGATATTATCTAATTCTTCTTCATGATTTTGTGTTCGAAAGTCTATCCAATTATCAATATCTTTATTTACTTATAATCTTTGATTATAAGATTATTAATTGAATTAGAAAAGTAATTATAACAATATATATAATATAAGCCTAAAAATATGAAAGCAAATTTCATGATATCCATATTCACAAATTAATATTTGACCATTATTCTATGATAAATTTATATATTCTGAGCAGTCACATAGTTTATTAGTTACTAGTTGATATTTTGAATAATATCCTAATGGTAATACATTAAAAGAAAATCACGTTTTTACTAGAAAAGTAACAATAATCTTTTTAATTCTTATTCCTTCTTTTTTTAATTCAACTCCATTAGAATTTTTCTATAAATTATTAAAAAACTCCAAATAAAAAATAGCTGACAATTTAATTAAACTATCAAAATCTTTTTTTGAATAGGAATAATTATATTTGGATTCAAAAGACTTTACAAAAGAATTTTCATGTTGATAATGATTTATGAACAATGTATCTCTTCTCAATGATTTTCTAGTAAATACTTTTGTATTAGTATGATGACATAATAAACTATGAAAATTTTCAACTGAATATTTATTAAAAATGTTTAAATGTATTTTTAAAGTATCAAGTATCAAATGTTGTATTGCTTTCCAATAAGAAATATTCTGACAAAAAGGCAAGCATAATTTTATCATAATTATGCCTATGAAATCATTATACAGAGGGTGGACAAAAGTATCCGCACACTTTTTCACTCAATATAAAACTTATAATTTTTTTGCATTAACAATAA